GTAAGTAGGTAAAGTAGTTTATATAATTGTATGGCTTGTAAAGATAGATGGCCACATTTGCTTATCCTCTATGTCTGATGATCCATGGTTATGGCATAGAAGACTTGGCCATACTAGCATGCATTTGATTGAAAAACTGTCCAAACATGACTTAGTTATTGGGTTGCCTAAACTAAATTTCTCTAGAACTCATATCTGTGATGCATGTCAAATGGGTAAGCAAACCAGAAATTCTTTCAAAACTAAAGATATAGTATCTACTTCAAAACCATTGCAATTACTTCATATGGATTTATTTGGGCCTACTAGAATTACTAGCATTGGAGGTAAGAGGTATGCTTTTGTTATTGTTGATGACTTTTCACGTTTCACCTGGGTAATCTTCTTGTCTCATAAGGATGAAGCCTTAAGAAATTTTGAAGTTTTCTGCAAAAAGGTTGAAAGAGAAATGGGACATCTGATCTCAAATATTCAGAGTGACTATGGAGGAGAATTTGAAAGCAGAGCTTTTGAAGACTTCTGCAACAATCAAGGATACACTCATAATTTCTCTGCACCACGCTCACCATAGTAAAATGGGATTGTGGAAACCTAGAACAGAACTCTCCAAGACATGGCAAGAACTATGCTACTAGAACATTCATTGCCAAACCATTTCTGGGCAGAAGGCGTAAGTACTGCTTGTCACATCCTCAACCGTTGCCTCATAAGGCCAATTGTGAAGAAGACCCCATATGAACTCTGGAAAGGTAAACGTCCAAATATCAGTTACTTCCATCCCTTTGGAAGCAAATGTTTTATTCATAATAACGGTAAAGACAATCTTGGAAAGTTTGACCCAAGAAGTGACGAAGGTATTTTTCTTGGTTACTCGTTAAATAGCAGATCTTTTTGAATCTACAATAAACGTACTTTATGTGTAGAAGAATCTGTACATGTTATATTCGATGAAAATAATCCCTTGGTCGAGAAAGGAACTATTGCAGGTGACGAAGATCAAACTCAAGAAGCTCAGGATAAAGGAAAATCACAGGAGTCGACTAGCACATCTGGGGTGATCGAGTCAATTGGAGAAAATAGCAGCAATACTCCAGACTCATAAGTCGAGTCGACTACAAAAAGTATTCGACCAAATGAATGGAGAAGCGAACCCGAATATCCTCAGAAATTTATTATAGGGGATCCAAACGAAGGAATGAAAACCAGGGCTGCCCTCAAGAAGAAAGCAAATATTGCATTGATTTCTCAAATTGAGCCAAAAAAGGTAGAGGAAGCACTGAATGATTCAAGCTGGGTGCAAGCTATGCAGGAGGAATTAGATCAGTTCAGCAAGAATCAAGTGTGGAAACTAATACCTAAACCTGAAAATGTGTCTGTGATCGGAACAAAATGGGTATTTAGAAACAAATTGAATGAGGATGGAAAGGTCATAAGAAATAGAGCGAGACTAGTTGCACAGGGCTATTCACAGCAGGAAGGAGTTGACTATGATGAGACTTTCGCCCTAGTAGCTCGTTTGGAGTCTATACGAATTATTCTAGCACACACATCCTTTAAAGGATTCAGGCTGTTTCAAATGGATGTTAAAAGCGCCTTTTTGAATGGATTTATCGAGGAAGAAGTTTTTGTAAAATAGCCTCCAGGATTTGAGGATTCAAAATTTCCATACCATGTATACAAGCTTACCAAAGCACTATATGGGTTGAAATAAGCTCCACGTGCCTGGTATGATAGGCTGAGTACTTTTCTTATTGATCATGGCTTTACCAAAGGTAAAATAGACACTACTCTGTTTATTAAACGATCATCAGAAGGTATTATTCAAATTTATGTTGATGATATTATATTTGGTAGTGCTAACCCTCTTATGTGCAAGGAATTTTCAAATCTTATGCAAAGCGAGTTTGAAATGAGCATGATGGGTGAACTCACGTTCTTCCTTGGGCTACAAATCCAACAAACCGAAGAAGGAACTTTTATTTGTCAGACCAAATATACAAAAGAGCTGATTCAAAAATTTGGTATGAACAATGCAAAATCAATTGGCACTCCTATGAGCCCTGCTACAAATCTAGACAAAGATGAACAGGGCACCCCAGTTGATGAAACCAAATACAGGGGAATGATTGGATCACTGCTATATCTGACAGCAAGTCGACCAGATATTATGTTCAGCGTATGTAAGTGTGCCAGGTTTCAGTCAGCTCCCAAGGAGTCACATTTGACTGCTGTAAAGAGAATCATTCGATATCTCATTGGAACTGTATCTCATGGATTATGGTATCCTCGCTCTAACTCTTTTAAATTAGAAGGTTTTTCAGATGTTGATCTTGCAGGTGACAAAGAAGATAGAAAGAGCACAAGCGGCACTTGTCAATTATTAGGAAAGGCATTAATATCCTGGAACAGTAAAAAGCAAGCATCAGTCGCTTTGTCCACTACTGAAGATGAATACATTGCTCTTGGACAGTGTTGTGCAAAACTACTGTGGATGTCTCATCAATTGGGTGACTATGAGCTTTCGTTTAAACCTATACAAATTATTTGTGATAATTCTAGTGCTATTTGCCTTTCAAAAAATCCTGTGCATCATTCTAGAGCAAAGCACATAGATATTAAGCATCATTTTATTAGAGATCATGTTCTTAAGGGAGATATAGAAATAGCCTTTGTTGGCACCTCTGCTCAATTAGCCGATATTTTTATAAGCCTTTGTTAGAAGAAAGATTTTGTACTTTGAGAAAATTACTTGGTATTATTTGCTGTTCTAATAACTCTTAGGACCTATGTGCTCAATTACTTTTAAGAGCTATAATTGTCCTTTTTCACGCATTAATTACGCCTCCGATTTTTTTCCCTCTCTTTTCACTTCGTTCACATCAGTTCACAGTCTGAAGATGGAAAGCCAATCATCACGTCTTCTCAACTGACAAGTTTTCTTTATCTGTACTCAACCGTCAAAACCCTCTTCTTAAGTTAGAAAACCCTTTCAGTCACTCTCATCTCCATCTTCTCTCCAAAACCTTGAGCAAATCCCCTCTTCTACAATGGTGAAACACTCCAAGAATGCTCTACCTCCACCAGAAAAAGTACCCGCTCTAAGGCGAAACCCCCTTCTGCGCCTCATGAGCAAGTAGACCTAGGGTCTGATCACTCTGAAGGCTTCGCCTCATCTCAGGGTGATTTCTCTGAACACTCCCAACTTCTAGGAGAAAAAGCCTTAGGCAAACGACCCATGGAAGATCCTCCCATTCCATCCACCCTAAAGAAATCAAAAGTTGATTTCTCTGCCTCACTCGAGTCTGACCTAAATTTCTGGGATACCCCAAATAGAGATCTTTTCATTACTCTTAAGGACAAGCCCATCGCCCATGGAAGGATCGTGGATCTTGATGATATGGAAGCCCTCAACTGTAAGGTTAAAGAGCTCTTTGTTTATAAAGGGTGGGAAAAATTCCTCTCTATTCCTCCGCCTAAGGTATATGAACCCCTGGTCAAAATGTTTTATGCAAATCCTCGCTCCAGTAAACCAGATAGGCGAGAATCTCTAGTGCTAGGTAAGCGCATTGTTCTTGATTGTGCCTTGTTTGACTCTCTTTTCCATTGTCATTGCTCTGGTTTCCCTACTCTTTTTAAAAATGTGTGGCCTGAGAATTTTGAAATTTCATTTGACCAAGCCAAACACTGCATTGTCGAGTGTCCCTCTGAAATTCTTCTAAACCAATTGGGCCCCAGTGATGTAAGTTTTGAAACTCGGGTTCTAGCCAATATTGTGGCAACCACTCTGCTTCCCCGTACTGGTTCCTTTTCAACCTTCTCTCAAAGGGATACATTTTTTGTCTACTGCCTCATCACCAAACTCAAACTCAAGCTTTCCTCCTGGGTCATCAATTTCATGATAGAAAGTGCTGAAGATCCCACTAGTTTACCCTATGGCATGGCAATCTCTCATATTCTAGAAGCCCATCAAATTTCTCTATCCAACTATCCCCTCATTAATGTCTCCAAGTCCTATAATTCTAGAGCTTTTGCTAGTATGGGCTGTGTGAGTATCAATGGCTCCTGGGTTAAGAAAAGTGAGAGTGAAGCAAAGCAGGCCCCTATGGAAAATAAACCTTCATCAACTGTTCCTGCTCCTACTCTTGTCAGTTCTAAGCTTAGTGAGAAGCTTAGCTATATTGACTCCAAACTCTCTGACATCAAGAATCTTCTTTCCGCCACTCAGTCCACTGTGGGTGACATTCATACTATTTCAACAGAAATAGGGTCTGACGTGTCAAAAATCAGAGTTGTTGTTCTCAGAGTAAGGGAGAATGCTGTCAAAGCCTTCACGGAGGTTCACGACAGGCTGGATGGTATGAACATCGCTGCAAATACTAGCTTCGAACAGTTAAAGGAGGTCATCTGCAACACCCTTACCTATTTCTTGCGCCGCTAGTGTGGATGTTTTTTTTTACAACTTGTTTTGGTGGTATTGTGGGCTGTAGTTTAAGCCCTTGGATAATTCTGTTTTTTTGCTACTGTGGGCTGTTTCACCAGCCGCTGGATAATCTCTTTACCTTTTCTGCTTTACTGTTATCTATGTTTATAATCCCTCTTTGCTGATGACAAAAAGGGGGAGAAAAAAGTCTATGTTATTTTGCCTATGATATGTGTGTGTGCACAGGTACAAGACGACTATGTGTCTATATGTGTATGTATACAGGTCGACTGCACACATTTTATATGTGTATAGGTAGCATATATTGTATACTGTACAGGTACAAGTCGGTACAAGTCGACTGCACACATTGAGGGGGAGAGTCATGGACCGGTCAAGTCGACTGCATACATTGAGGGGGAGTCAAGCGTACATACATTGAGGGGGAGTCAAGTCGACTGGTAAAACACAGGGAAGTCGACTGATGTTTACTTCTTCACCTTATTATATTATTTTGCCATCATCAAAAAGGGGAAGATTGTTAGATCATGTTTTAATGATGCAAATAATATACATGTGCAGGATATCAAGTTCAAGAAGTAAAGAAGACTGCTGGAATGGTTCATGATGTACAAAGAAAGAAATCAATCAGCATGTGATCAGCAAATCTGGATTGGTCTCGTAAATTTGGGCACAATCGAAACAACGAATCAATCAGCAATAACAATGATTAGCTGAGCTGGAGAAAATCAAATAAGCCTTGGACAAAGGCACGAATCATGGGCAGAATTACGGAAGACTAAAGGATACGAGGAGATCTGGGAAGCGACCACATTTGGAAGATCCAACAATCAAGGAGAAATCAAGGGAAACAATCCTCTGCTGAAGGAAAGCAATCAAGAGAAGCAACAACTCATTCCTTATTCTTGGAAAGAATAAATTCTTTCCAAGGATCAAATCTCTTGGGTTGTCAAGCCTCTACCATCCATCAAAGTATTTATACTCCCTTGTAAACCCTAGCTCAGACACTCTTTGATCAAACCAAATCACTCTTTTTATTCTACTGCAAACAAGCATTGTAGTTCACTAAGATCTGCTGTGTAACAAGTCAGGGATAGAAAGAGAGCACACAACTGGTGAGGCATTGTATCAAAAACGAGTGCTAGAGAAACTGAGCGATATACACCACATCTGTAATCGGAACAAACTCATTTACTGAAGAGAACTCCCTTGCAACCCAACGGGACTGGATTAGGATACACATTGAATCCGAACCAGCATAAAAATTCTGGTGTTTTTAATTCCTGCAATTATTTTCTGCATTTTACTTTCCATTACCATATCTGCTAAATTATCATATTCAGCCGACTACTCTAGTTATAAGTCAACTTATAAGCAATTAATTCGAAGTATTTATAATTCACCCCCCCTCTTGTACTTTCACGCGGTCGTGTTTATGCGGACCGCGTTAGATGCCTCTGCGACCGCAGTCCATTCTGTGCAGTCCGCGAATCCTGGGTTCAGAGAGTTGATTTTTCAGAGTCAAGAGCCTAGTGCGGCCGCACATCATTTTGTGCGGTCCGCACTGACCCCGCAGGGGTATTTTTGTCCAGTTTTTCCAGCATAGTATAAATAGAATATTTTTCCATTTTTAGGGTATCAGATATTAGAACACTGTAGCTGCGCTCGTGAGAAGACATTTCTTAGCTATTTTTGGCATCTTTACGTAGTCTTAATCATTGAAACTTTGTATTTACATTATTAATTAATTAATATGTCTTTCTCTTCATCTATTTCTCTGATTTTATCTTCAAGCATGAGTAGCTAAACCCATTAGCTAGGNGAGAAAATCAAATAAGCCTTGGACAAAGGCACGAATCATGGGCAGAATCACGGAAGACTAAAGGATACGAGGAGATCTGGGAAGCGACCACCTTTGGAAGATCTAACAATCATGGAGAAATCAAGTGAAGCAATCCCCTGCTGAAGGAAAGTAATCAAGAGAAGCAACGGCTCATTTCTTATTCTTGGAAAGAATAAATTCTTTCCAAGGATCAAATCTCTTGGATTATCAAGCCTCTACCATCCATCAAAGTATTTATACTCCCTTGTAAACCCTAGCTCAGACATACTTTGATCAAACCAAATCACTCTCTTTATTCTACTGCAAACAAGCATTATAGTTCACTAAGATCTGTTGTGTAACAAGTGAGGGA